GGCACATTTCCAAGTGGTAAAAGAGAAGGGTGGAGAAATCCAACTTTACTTGAAGTTGTTGCATCAAGGGTTCGAATCCTGAAATATGGATTTGGCTCTTGGGTAAGTGCAAGTGTACAAGCAGCCTTCCACCCTGTACCTTTGGAGGCATAACCTGCGATTTACCTCCCTCACGATACTCCAGGGCAGGGGTGGTGGGGGACCCTTAAGGTTAGGATTTAACCCTTTTTTTTTTTTTTTTTAACAAACTACGCTGGCTCACTTACCGAGATAAGTACACTTGTCAGGACAAACAAGAAATTGGACAGGACTCCATTCATTGAATTGACAGCTAAAATATATAAGATTTAGGAATGAAACAATTATATCATTAGCAAATGCTAATTATGACTCCCCAGGCACTTGTTATAAGTAATAATTAAGAATATTGATATTTATAATTATGAGATATTAGTCAATGTTTCTTTAAGTACTTAACTTTTTTTTTTTTTTATAATTGTGAGATCTCTTTAATTTTCAGAAATTCTCACTCTTAGAAACTCATCAAGACGGTTTGTTAGTGACATATTATTCTATTGTTGATCTTAAGGAGTATAGGTTTCATAATTCTTATCGCAAATTTATGTCTCGGATACTCTCTAACGATGAATTTAGCGTTCATCGACCCATCCCGGGCATGCAGGGACAAAAGACTTGCACCATTGCTGGGTTATGCTACTGGAATGCAGGGACACTGTGGAAATGCAACATTCATTGTGCCAAAAACAAGAAATGGGACACAAGGGCCCTTTGTTTTTGGCATTTACATGTCAGCAGTTTTTCGAAACCATTTGTATTTTTATCCATTAGTTGTTCTTTTGTCTGTGAGACGCACACTGCATTGGACAAGAAGTCAATACCTTTTTGGGTTGACATTGAACAAATCTATTGGAGAAAATAGATTATTTTATTATTTTGATATGTTTAATTAATAAATATGTTTAGCTTATGACTTGACATTTGAAAACAGTGAAGGTCTTCGGACGATGAGAAATGGAAGATTGGGAGCAAACTTGCTAAAAAATATAAAATGAGAATTACGAAAAATGAAATGTTGGCAAAAGCGTTTACAATTTTTCTCCATCAATTAGCCCCGTATTCAAAATATGAACCATTTAATCAACACTTTGATAACGAGCATTTTAATCATCAACCTTTTATCGTTGTTAGTCTTGAAATATGAAAATCATCCAAATTTTCATTAAATTTTATTTTTTATGCATATACTTCTAGTAATAAATTCTCAAAATCTATAAGTTTATTATCATGAAATTAATTTTGTAAATAGCGAAGTGTCCTGCAAAAACTATAGCAGGCTCCTCTCCTTGTTGGAGTTACCTACCAACAAAAATATTTCAATGAATTGATCACTTTTACTGATCCTAATCTTAAAGAAAATGGAGATGTGGCAAAATTAATATTCTTCGTAGGCGCAATTGGTACACCGCTTAACACTAAAAACTTATTCCCAATCAATTGTATTCACATTCCCTCGAACAGAATAAAGGGCAAAGATAAAAGAACCTTGCTACAGGTACAGAAGTTAGTTCACAGATTTATACAGGAGAGTTATGGGACAGTTTTTTGTGAAAAATGACCCCAAAAAATAATAAAATTGAACAACACAAATGATGCCACAGCAGTATCTGTAAATATTCTGTGGAGACAACGCCGTACACTTAGAATTGTTCAAGATAAAATGGTGACATATTAAAGGAACCCTTTTTTTTTTTTCTTTTTTTTTAAGGGCTAAGATAAAATGGTGACAATTATTGCTCCGAATGATCATTTTCAAAATCAGACCCCACCCCACACAAGAAAAGAAAGACAGGTAAAAAGAGTACAAAAAATGAAAGAACATGGCACTAAGATTTAAGCCCACCCAATTTGTCATTTATGACTTGAACTTTTGTTTTCAATAAATACATCCAATTTGTCTCCAACAATGATAATTTGACCCCACTTAGAGCGTGTTTGGTTCAACTGTTTGTTACTAACTTATAATTTTGATAGTAAAGTGGTTGCAACTTTCAAAATGGGGCACTTTAATAATCAATCTTTCGATAATAAGGTGGTTGAGAATTAAAATGCCTCGATTTAAATGTTGAAAACCGATTGCTCATTGTCTATACAAATGGCAAAGAGAATTTTAAAATATTTCTTACTTTTTTCTAAAGTTAAACACCATCAAAGTCTAGATGGATTTTTAGATCCCACCTAGATTCGATTCAATGGGTGTTTAAATTTTCCTACCATTTCTTATTAATAAAATATAATGTTACACGTAATTTAAATTTTCTTTCTACTTTTCAACCATGTATTCTAAAAAAAAATTAATATCACAAAATTTATTTCTCTGAAAAATGGGGCTCAGACGAGCATCTTTATAGACCATTTACTTGAAGAAAGTCAAAAGAAAAATACACTAAGGATTCGTTTGATTGTAGAGATGGAATTTAGATGGAAAGAAAACAAATCCCAGTGAATTAAATTGTTTAGAAATTGTTTTAATGAAAATTGTCAATTGTTGTATTTGATTGACATAATTTTTCAAGTAAAAAATGTTAAAATAAAAGTTTTTTTTGTGTTCATTTGACTTTATTTTACATGAAAATTGTCAATTAAAGGGATATAATTTATTGGTATTTGGGATAAAATTTGTTTTCATTGCCAAAGAAACAAACAAACAAAGAAAATTATCTATCTTTTGGTATTCGTTTGACTTTGTTTTACATAAAAATTGTCAATTAAAGAAAAATATTTTTTTACAATTAGAAACAAAATTTGTTTTCATTGCCAAAAACAAAAACAAAAACAAAAACGTAACAGTACGCTAAGGAAAATCAAGAAAATTCCAACTTCCAAGAAAACCAAAATTCATGGAAAATAAAACCTATCAAACACACACAAAATTAGAAGAAAGTGGAATTTGTGGAAATGGAATTCGAAACAATCAAATATGGCCTAATTTCTTGGCCTACTTTTCCACCTCATGTTATTCAAAACTTCAAACTGTTTGGCTACTTTTCATTCTTTCCACACAATTCCAAAAATGCATTATTTTTCTTTCTAAAACACTCCAATACCTAATCTCAAGACAACTACCTTTGGATTTCGATGACTTCAAAAATAAAAATGAGAAAAAAAAAAAAAACCTCTCACACAAAAGTACCCTCTCCCTTCATAATGACAAATCAATAAAAATGAAATAAAATTAATCGGTGTTCGGACCAAATTAGTACAATTACAAAGTAGAATCTGCATGTAAAAAAGAAATAACAGTAAAAAAAAGATGGTTGAAAAAATATGTTGACAATTTTAATCATTAACCCTTCAAATTTTCCGATTTAATATCTCAGCCGGGCTTTAAAATATTAAAAAAAAAAAATCATTTAATCATACAAATCCGAAGGGTAATATTGCCACTAAAAAGACATAGTAAAACTTTGGGTAATTACTATCTACACCCCCCGTTTGGCCTATTATTTGAATTTATAATGGAGGAATAATATTTTTTTGAAGATTGTATGATTGAAAAGTTTTCGATTTGAGTTTAATATTATTTTATTGAAAATTGTGTGATTGAAAGTAAGAGAGAGAAAAATCAAATTAAATTGAAGATTTGTAAACGGGGCCAGACATGGGCTAGTTGCAAAGGAAGTTCCCATTTTTGCTCATTTTCTCAATTTATTCATCACATTTTTATCTTTAACCTTCATTTTGGAATATTTGATGACGATTTTTGTCAAAATATTCTGTTAATGTGCATTGATATAAGGACCAAATATTTTTTTTTTATCACAACTTTGATATATATTTTTTAATTTTTGCTTATTTAAAAATAAGATAAACAAATAAGTCTTTTTATGAGAATTTTCGGACGCAAACTATTATCAAAGATATTTATGTGCAAATTAATAGAAAGTTGATGATAAAAATGTAATGAAAAAATAGAAAACATAAAAATAAAAGTGATAAAAAAAATAAATCATTCTAATTATTATACACGTAAGCATAGAAAGAAAAGTATTAAAATAAAATAATTAGTTAAGGAATTAGGTGGCGCGAAATAGCTACCCCGTCTCTAATGGCTTTATTTCTCTACCTTCTTCATCTGAAATTTCCTGCGCGTTTGTTCTTTTTTATTATAATTTATTTTTTTCATAATTCTCCTACGAAGAAATACACACCCAATTTTCTCTAACACACTGGTAAGGTTTCAGAATAATCAGAAATTCAGGAAAAAAAAATGGCTTTGCCAGAAATTACAGGTAATTAGCTGGGTGGAAATAAATTTTGATTTTTTTTTTCCTATCTAAAAATGGTTTTCTTATGGTTTATATATGGAGATTATACGCGAATTCTGCATATATTCTCAGAATTAGGAACAAAATCTGACAAAACGCACATGTAATTTTTCATGTAAAATCCTCAATATTATCGTGTTTGGGTTTTGTGGAAAAATAAGATATTCATTGATTTCAGTTCCTGAACCTGTAAGGCTGTAACGATTATCTTTTGTTTCCTTTTTTGGTATTTTGTGTATTTATTGCACTGCGTGTTCATGGGGAAGAACAATAATTTCTAGTAAAGACAACTCTTAACATTATTTTAGTACTAATTAGCTTTAATCATTTTTTGGGTTTATATATAATTAGGTATTTCTTATATAAAGTAAAAACAATTATGAATCTGACGGTGAAGATTTACCATTTCTTGGTTCAGGGAAAAAAGTCAGTTTTTACTTATTCGTGCATTGATGAAGGTTTATTGTGTGTATTCGTACACTGATCTGTGTGTGGGTGACCCCCCCCCCCAAAACCCACCCTGTGTGGGGGTGGGGGAGGTGGGGTTGGCACATTTATTGAATTCCCTTTCATGAAAATGAGGTGGCTGGGGGAAAGAGGGAACAGGCCAGTAAGGCTCACATTCTGAGTTTTGCTGTTTGTGTGTAGCTTCAGCCCTGAGAGCCATGGCACTCCTGTGAGAGGGACAAAAAGGTTAGGGACCGAAAACAAAAGAGGATACAAGAAATTAATATACAAAAAGAAAAAAAAAAAAAGAAGGGACAAACAAGAAAGAAGCATTTTTATCCTACAAACCCTTCTCTTTACTACATTCACATATCCCTATTCACTTCCTCTATTCTTTCCCTTCTCCATTTCCAAGAAAGGGACTAAATTCCATCGGCTATAATTCAAATTTTCTTCGTTTGACGTTCCACATTACTATCTTTTCGTGGGGGTGATTTGACAGAATTTAGGCCATTTTAGATAATTATGGAAAACCCAGTTGCATTTGTTGGTTGAAGTAATCACATTCAATCTGGTGCAGATCTGGAAATCTGTAAAGATGTATCTTTTGACATGCTTTACTTTTTTGTCAAGCGTTGTTCTTTTATTTTCTTTAGTTCTCTATCCTGGGTATCTTACTTTTGGATTTAAATTTGTATGGCAGATTTTTGTCTGAGGAAAGGGTCTCCTTTTAGAGAAATTGTTGTGGTTACTTAGTGGATTAATAGTTGGTTTTGTAAAAGCCTGTCAAAAAGTGTATTGATCGTTAAGATATGAAGGGGGATATCAATGTGGTTTAATCTGCACAGTTTGGATGGATGTATGTGAATCAAGGATAGTATTACAGAAGCACTCCACCGTGGATACTGCAAGAACACCATTGGTGAATGCTGACAATAAAAATGGAACCACTCGACAGTCCCAAACCAGAGAAGTTTGTTCTAGGTATAGGTCACCTACTCCATCTGCAGCCTCTTGTCCAAGGCGTTGCCCTTCGCCAAATGCCACTAGAACATCAATGTCGTCAATTGTATCAGCAACTAAGAGGTCGGCATCAGCCGGCAGGAAGCGTCCTACCACTCCATCTCCTCGAAGTCCACATGCATCAACCCCAGTCCAGGATACAACTGCAGAAATGCTTTTGGCATCAAAAAAAATAATAGGTAATAAGTTACCGGAGTCTCTTTGGCCCTCTACAATGCGGAGTCTCAGTGTTTCTTTCCAATCTGATACCTTTTCTCCCCCTATTAGTAAGAGAGAAAAACCAGCATCTCATGGTCTTTCTGATCGCACCATGAAGTCATCGGTGAATGTAGTGCAGAAACAGGGCAAAACACCACCGGCTTCAAGGAAGCCTACACCAGAGAGGAAGAGGAGCCCAGTTAAAGGAAATAATTCTACTGATCATTCAGAGAATTCCAGACCAATTGATGCTTTACATACTGGACTAGTGGATCAGCATCGATGGCCAAGCCGAACAGGTGGAAAAGTGTCCTCTAAAGCTTTAAAAAGAAATTCTGATCTCACTGATAAGACCAATAGAACTTCTCTATCTCACTCACGAGCAGATTCACCTTCCCTGAGGAGATTATCTTTGGTTGGGATGGGTAAACCTTTATCAGAAACTAGTGCTTTGTTAACACGTGTGTCTCGTGATGACACAAGTGAGAAAACAATGTTGGGCGGTTGTTCAGTTGTTGATAATTCACTGCTAAAAGAAAAGATTGTTTCTTCAATTTCATTGAATAGAGAAACATTTAGAAATTCTGCTGTTAGACATCAATCTTTACCAACTCCTGGATCACGTCCTGCATCACCCTCTTTGTCTAGAGTTAGTCCATCTGGAGCAAAGGCAGTCTATCCTTCTTCTAGAGGACCTAGTCCTGCTCGGGTAAGACCATCCAGTCCATCAAGGCAAGCCCAGAGTTTAACTTCTGTCCTTAGTTTTATCGTGGATATTAAGAGAGGGAAGAAGGCTGTAAATCACATCGAAGATGTTCATCATATGCGGTTGCTATACAATCGACTCTTGCAATGGCGATATGCCAATGCCAGAGCAAATTCTGCGCTGCATTCTCAGAAAATAAAAGCAGAGGTTTGAGACATTATATTTGTGGACATTTCATCTACCTTTTAGATCTTTAATATGTCTGTGTTTTTGTTGTTTTCTTTTTTGCTTGACTGTTTGCTTTATATGTTCTAGTAAAACTAAGTTCTGAATATGTTGCTATAGAATGAACAAAATGGTGTAGAAAACTGCTGTTGTTTTGCCTTGGAGAATGAACCCTTTTGAGATTTATCTGGTGAATACCATGACTAGGGAGCTGGTAAAAATTTTGTAATAGTTGAGCACTTAGCGATATTGATTAGACAATTGAATCATTATTGAAAAATAAAATACTAATCGATTTTCTGATAATTAGATGGACGTGAGTCAACCTTTGTACACTGTCTTGTCCTCAATTATGGCCCAGCTTCCTGAATTGGATTTTAGTTATAAATTCCGATTTTGATGCTTTTTTCATTAGATTCACCTGTATTTTATTGTAAGTACCAATTATTGATTTGCAGAAACTGCTGTACAATGTTTGGAGAGCAACTGTAGATCAATGGAAATCAGTGATTGGTAAAAGGATTGACCTCCAGCAGCTGAGACATAAGTTGAAGCTCTATACAGTTTTCAACAACCAAGTAACAGCTCTCTCACTAGTAAATGCTCAATTTAATTAATATAGAGTCGATCAAAAGCGAATTATAGTATTTTTGGAGTGCATTGTGTTCTCTAGTTGTCTTTAATATTTTTTGATATAACAGCAGAAACAACAAACTGATCCTTATTTCCAATAAAATTTGATTCACTGTCTCAAGCATGGAAGGTGACTGACCTTGAAGTTTCTTTTAGAACTTCAACATTGTAGTTAATATGTGCAAAAGATTCTTTTCTCCTTCAGTGACGGTAACCCTTTGAAACATGGAGTTATTGTCTAACGTCAACTGAACTTGTTAACTAAGGAAAATTTAGTACCAATGTTATCTCTTCCTTAAATTTCTGTTGTCAGCTTATCTTAAGAAATATTAATAGATCTTATTCAAAAGCCATGTACTGGCTTGGTTTTGAAGGACTGCTGACCGTAAAGCTTGTTTAGTACGGTATTTGTAAGTTGCACAGGTTTTGGTTGATCTATAAGCATTCTGCATTTGGGTCTTGAACTGATCTATTTAGTTGAAATTGTCTTACGTTCATTCAGATATTTCCCATAACTGATCCTTGACACACTAATTTTGACTAATAGAGCTTCTAAAACATTCAGTTTGATGAAATCCTGGAAACAATGGGATAGATATTTATGGTATAACAGTAACCATGTGTTTCGCAATGACTCAAACAAATTCTAGCTTCGTAAAACTTTATGAATACAACTTTCTAGAATTTTGCAAGTGTGTTGCAAATTTGTCTTCCAAAACTATGTTCTTTCTGTGAATATCCCCATCCCCACTCCAATTGCTAATAAAAAAATCATAAAAATGAATAAGCACCAACTTTCAACTGAAGCGTCCATCTGATTTATATTCATTTCTTTGTAATAATTATGTACAACTATATTTTTAACAAGTCTTTTCATTGCAATTTAAATTTTTAGATAATTGATGTCCTAAATATTCTAACGCATACAATCTGATCAGCTGGCCTGTCTTGATGAATGGGATTTTATCGAAAGGGATCATACTAACGTTTTATCCTGGGCTATACAAGATCTTCAGGCTAGCACTCTCTGTCTTCCAGTAACTGAAGGGGCGAAGGTATATCGGTTTCTCACAAGTTCTTGAGACTCAAATTTATACATGTGAAGTACTGATTAATTTGATCTGCAATTTTGCAGGGAGACATTGAAGCCATTAAGGCAGCTGTTTGTTCAGCAATTGATGTGATACATGTGATGGGATCCTCCATACGCTCCATATATCTGCAGGTGAGATTGTTTCTGTTATTATACTTGTCAAAGTCAAGGCTTAGCCAACCTGAGAGGGAAAATGATGTTGCATTACTCTGTCCACGATATTCAATTTATTCTACACTCCAATAGGTTAATTTATAGATCCAGTACAATTTGGGCACTCTAAATGTTTCATGTGTGCATTGCGATTACAAATCGATGATTGCAACTGCTTTCCAAACCACGCAAACACATTGGCTGTCCAAAGTCCCAAACCATACATAAACACCACATCATCGGCCTCAAAACACCGCCATAATATATAAACCAAAAGGCAGTGCTCAAAATAAATCTTCCAGCAACAAATTTCTGTTTGGTTTTACTTTATTGCTATTCCCCCCCCCCCCCCCACCCACCCCACCCAAAAAACAAAAAAAAAATAAACTACAGTCACTTTTTCAATTGAACGCTTGGAAATCCGATATGTTGTCAAAATATTAGGCTATAGACTCAGGAACTTGTAGAAACTTAGTATGAAGCAAAAAAGGAAGATATTTATTCAAAAGGGTAGTGTAAACCAAAAGGACAAAATGTATATTGACTATTATATTGGGCCCACTGGAAAATTTGTGGTTTTCTCGATTGTCTTTCTTTTATTTGTTCTATATTCGACATCAGTTACCCTCAAGGTATATTGGACGTTAATACCAGCTTCTTCGTATATTGTTGTGTCCATTTCCTAAAAAAGAATTAGTTTTTATGTTGTGTTCTTTACATAATTTTCTGATCTGTGTATACAATAGCTGCTTCGTCTGATAATGTTTTACCCAAAGCAGGCAGAAGAACACAGCCGTAGGACTCAGTTGATACAGTTGAGACCAGCTTGAGCAGTGGTGAACCACCAAAATTTGGCAAATAAAACTAATCGTGTCTTCGAATATGTGACGCTAACAACAGTTTTACTGCCTCAGCAAATAAGATTTATCAGCAAGTCCATTTGTTGTAAGTGATTATTTTATTCGTTCTTTTTGCATGTAATCTATTGTATTATCAACAGAAAAATGTGAAGGAAAGAATGCAAATATATTGAAGTTACGGTCACCCGGAAAAATATGTTTGGCGGGATGGATATTAGCGTCATACAAATATACAAGGCTGTAAAAGTACAGAATTGTCCTTGTAACGAAATTAATTAAAATCAAGATGGATTTTATCCTATCACCCTTCTCCAACTCCCTTACCCCAAGGTCCCCAACCCTTGAAGCTGAAGAGATTATGAAGCATGCAAAGGAATGATTGAATATGAAAAGTCCTGCTGGATGAGACATTGCACCTGCGATATAATGTGTAAAAAAGATGTTTAAATCTTGAAGAAGATATCAAGCATCCAACGGCATTAATCTCTAGTAGATTTAATTGCTAAGCAGGGACCAATGAAGATGCAATTGCTCGAAGCAATATAGAGTATGCAGAAAACTGGCCTATTCGGCATTTGAGCAGGCATACATTTGCTAATCAGGCTCTTGGAGAGAAGACAGCCTTGTTGTGCAGACCATGTGCTAAAGAAAGAGAGGTTTAACTTGATCTTTAGCAATGAATTCATTGTAAATTGTGTTAGATGTACTTTATAATGAATTTATGATATACAGTTCATAAGTTCAGAAGCTTTTGATTTGATATATTTTGTTGGAAATTTTAAGTATTAATCCATTTTTGAATTAACTGTTTCTCGTTGTTTACCTTTGTCATCTCAGTCCATCTTCATAAGAAACTTTGAGCTTGCGTTAGTCATAATTGATGAGAATAGATAACTGTCCTCTCTTTCATTTTTTCTTTTTCTTTTTTTCTTTTTTTATGGTATTGCTTAACTAACTCAAATGGGTTACTGTTGTAATTTTGATGCTTAAAACAGTTCAAATTTTGGTTGAGCTTGAGAAATTTTTGGTTCAATGGGTCTCTATATTTTGATTTTTGAGCTCTGGTTTTCATTGTCCAAGCATATCGTCTCCATGGTAACTAGCACTATCATAAAGTTATGCCATATGCAGCGTTGTTAGTAGATTTATGGATCTAAAACTCCTTTTTCTAAGACACGAATCCTATAATCAAAATAACAGAAAAACTTTGGTTGCAACTACCATGTAGCCCATAAGAACACGTATTGTACGTTGAACTGAATACATTTTGAAACCTACAACTTATAAGTAAAAGTTTGTTGCATCATTCTTGCAGAAAAAGGGTTTTCAATGCAATAGATTTTGTATTTGAATTAATAAATAATTATTATGAATACATTGCTTGAGGAAACCAGAACAGAGTGAAATCCACCATTTATAAGCTGGTGGCAGAGATTACAATAGCTTCTCTTACCAACACCTTTTGTATCCTTGTGAGTATACTGGGAAGCAGAAACCCATGCAAGACAATGGGATGTTGGCAAGCTCCCAGGTTTAGTCAGAAGACAAATGTCTATACTAACAGCTATTTCTTTAATACACTTAGACTCCTGCTGAAACTTCATTTGCTGTCGACCTATCCTTCTTTGGCAGTTCTTGAGCTTTTTGAGCAACGGCTTTATTAGGAACCAATATTATGAAGATGTTCCTATCGCGGAAACTCTTGTTCTCCTCAACGGCAAGCTGTGAACGTGTCAAAAAAGAAATGCAGATCGAAAATAAGAGATGGCACAGACACGACAGTAACAAAGAACGTCCAACAAAAAGAAGCATTCGGATGTGCGCAGAAGCAGCGAAAATTAAGGAATAACATAATATTCTTAGTTTATTGCCGGAATCCTCATTGCCACTTTCTAGGTATAGATGAAATGAAAGAAACATTCTGAATTCAAGCTCCAAACAGGCCTTTATCAAAGGAGATGAAATTAAACTCATTAAAGACAACATAAAATTATAGCATACACAAATCAACGAAAAGTTGGCTTTTGCTTTACATGTAAACCAAACCCAACAATAGTGCAAAATAATAATAATAATAATAAATAATAAAAATAAAAATAAAAAATCTTACAGTCCACCATCAAAAAATTTGTGAATCGTCTAACAAGTGGGAGTCAGGTTGAAGTGAAGAGAGAGCAAAATGTTGGTTCTGAAGCTGGTTTCGATCCTAAACATGATTAGTGATGAGGTAATTTTTTAAATGTCTATACTAACAGCTATTTCTTTAATACACTTAGACTCCTGCTGATACTTCATTTGCTGTCGACCTATCCTTCTTTGGCAGTTCTTGAGCTTTTTGAGCAACGGCTTTATTAGGAACCAATATTATGAAGATGTTCCTATCGCGGAAACTCTTGTTCTCCTCAACGGCAAGCTGTGAACGTGTCAAAAAAGATATGCAGATCGAAAATAAGAGATGGCACAGACACGACGGTAACAAAGAACGTCCAACAAAAAGAAGCATTCGGATGTGCGCAGAAGCAGCGAAAATTTAAGGAATAACATAATATTCTTAGTTTATTGCCGGAATCCTCATTGTCACTTTCTAGGTATGGATGAAATGAAAGAAACATTCTGAATTCAAGCTCCAAACAGGCCTTTATCAAAGGAGATGAAATTAAACTCATTAAACACAACATAAAATTATAGCATACACAAATCAACGAAAAGTTGGCTTTTGCTTTACATGTAAACCAAACCCAACAATAGTGCAAAATAATAATAATAATAATAAATAATAAAAATAAAAATAAAAATCTTACAGTCCACCATCAAAAAATTTGTGAATCGTCTAACAAGTGGGCGTCAGGTTGAAGTGAAGAGAGAGCAAAATGTTGGTTCTGAAGCTGGTTTCGATCCTAAACATGATTAGTGATGAGGTAATTTTATGTAGCAGTCAGCGGAGACTGAAGCTTACCTATATCTGAAAGACAAAATGGTTGGAAGCTTGGTTTTATTTGTGAGACGCATAAACTCAAATAGAGAGACTCGGAGAGCAAATATGTCAACTTAATATTTATTGTGCGGGTGTAGATTAATAAAGTATGAATGTAACCGCTCCACTCCCAGTGAAGCACAGATACGCCAGCAAGGTAAAGAGTAGTAAAACACATTGAACACGACCGACATGTCCCTTACATGACCGTGCCCTCCTCTGAAAAACCACATGCTGCTATGTTTGCAACCCCTGACTGTGTTTCGTAGACATTGCTAGGCTAACGAGGTAAGAAAGTAAAGTTCTAATAAGACATACTAATGATTTATGGGGAGATTAGTTCTTATTATGGTTTAACACAAGGAATGGGCTTTTTTGCAAAATCCAAAGGAGATGCAGATACCAACATTACCGACAACTATCAGTTACTAATTGTGATTAAATAATGTCTTCTGAAGTCTGCTAGTTAGTACCACAGCGAAATGGTCCAAACGGAGCACCTCTAGAGGGGAAGTCTTGAACCAATGAGAATAGAAATAAACTTAATATTTATTGTGCGGGTGTAGATTAATAAAGTATGAATGTAACCGCTCCACTCCCAGTGAAGCACAGATACGCCAGCAAGGTAAAGAGTTAGTGTTCAACACATCAGATAGTAAAACATATTGAACACGACCGACATGTCCCTTACATGACCGTGCCCTCCTCTGAAAAACCACATGCTGCTATGTTTGCAACCCCTGACTGTGTTTTGTAGACATTGCTAGGCTAACGAGGTAAGAAAGTAAAGTTCTAATAAGACATACTAATGATTTATGGGGAGATTAGTTCTTATTATGGTTTAACACAAGGAATGGACTTTTTTGCAAAATCCAAAGGAGATGCAGATACCAACATTACCGACAACTATCAGTTACTAATTGTGATTAAATAATGTCTTCTGAAGTCTGCTAGTTAGTACCACAGCGAAATGGTCCAAACGGAGCACCTCTAGAGGGGAAGTCTTGAACCAATGAGAATAGAAATCATCAAAGAAATTGTGCTTGTCTAACGCATCATTCGGGAAACAAAGAAAAGTTATCAACAGAAAGACAAAGAAAAGGGAAAAAATTCCCAGATGTAAAACTCTTTTAGACCCAGTACTACAGTTTGCACTTGTAGTTTTAATTCTACTCAGAAACAAGCACCAGGACTATGGAAGGTCACAAAGTAACAAAAAGTATAACCCAGAAAATAAGCAATTCACTTGTGACATTCATTTGATAAGGTGAAGATATATAGTACAAATTACCTCCCCAATATCATTCTGAAACCGTCTGATGAGCTCGATGGCATTATTTCTAAAATCATTTTCACGCCCCTTCAAGCTCACTATAATCTTTACCTGCAGAAATCCTCTGAATATCATTAGCATAGGGAGAAACGAATGTACATTAAAAAATTGTACATTTACGAGTAATTGAATGTGAAGCCATAAGAATTGAAAGAAACCTTATCACCATCTTTTAGAATGAAATTGTGCGTGTCTAACGCATCATTCGGGAAACAAAGAGAAGTTATCAACAGAAAGACAAAGAAAAGGGAAAAAATTCCCAGATGTAAAACTCTTTTAGACCCAGTACTACAGTTTGCACTTGTAGCTTTAATTCTACTCAGAAACAAGCACCAGGACTATGGAAGGTCACAAAGTAACAAAAAGTATAACCCAGAAAATAAGCAATTCACTTGTGACATTCATTTGATAAGGTGAAGATATATAGTACAAATTACCTCCCCAATATCATTCTGAAACCGTCTGATGAGCTCGATGGCATTATTTCTAAAATCATTTTCACGCCCCTTCAAGCTCACTATAATCTTTACCTGCAGAAATCCTCTGAATATCATTAGCATAGGGAGAAACGAATGTACATTAAAAAATTGTACATTTACGAGTAATTGAATGTGAAGCCATAAGAATTGAAAGAAACCTTATCACCATCTTTTAGAAACTTCTGAGCTGCTTTCAAACGCACGGAGTAATCGTGCACATCAATATTGTAACTGCCATCAAAAGCAGTAAAAGTTTCAAGATAATATGGAGTAATCATGCACATTAATTTTGTTTGCAATAAATGCTTATTGAGAAAATAAAATACATATTTTTATATAGAGAAATGAAATACTAAGCAACAATTACATGGCAAATCAATTCAACAGGCCTAATTTAATTCCTAGGACCCAACATTAACTTATTTACCAATTAATTAATGTATCATGTCACTATTGCTTAGCATAAGCTTAGCAAAGGTGTTTAGTAGATCATCTCCCTCCCTCCCTGTCGGCAACATGTCAAATCAGTATTTTTTGGAAAAATCACACGTTAGCGCATCCGACACATCCGTATCAGTGCACCACAGGATACAAGTATCACTGGACAAGGTATAAAGAATGATTTTATTATTATTATTATTATTATTATTATTATTATTATTATTATTATTATTTATTTATAACACATGGCTCACGAATACCTTTTTATCATGTACACGTGGATTATCAATATAATAGCTATATAACATAAACATATACTGGCTGTTGATAATCCTACATCTATTCCTTCAGTAGAAGACAATTATGACAGCTAAAAACATCTAGTATTCTCTTGCTTGTATACAAGTCCTTTATGCTACAGACAACAAGAAGACTCATCCATAGAAGTGGAGATGCATATAGGTTAACCATCCTCGCTCAAGAATGAAGTATGTAAAGTGAACAGCATTTCCAAGACAAGAAACTTGTAAATATGATAGTGAGAAAGAAATTTCCATATTTCATTTCATAGATATCTTGTGCTTTAACAGCCCAAGCAATCAGCAACAAAAATACATATAAAAAATGTTAAAACTGCTGGAGTTCTGCACTCCAAGCTTAAAAAGCTTAGTTTCCATTTCAATCAGCTCACATGTAGAACATGGAAAAACTAGAAGGCAGCAAGTAAAAAGAAAAAAAAAGAAGAAGTAATTACTGTAATTATTTTAGTTTTACATACCAGCAATTAAAATATGAATTAGCACAAGATCAGGAGACTATGAAAACTCAAAATTTTGTAAGAGAACTAGAATTATAAATTCCCTAACTATAAACCATACCCCATCTTCAGTTCCTTCAAATCCATGCGGCTAGCTGCCATTAAAATCAGCACGTCAATTCAAGTAATTTTCCAATCTTAATTAATATCAGAAATAGAGAAAAATGGCAGTGTTTGAAAATCGGTCTCTCACCAAGACTTTTCTTCTGCTGATCTCGTTTCTTCTTCTGCAACTCATATCTATATTTACTGCATCATAAAAACAACCCAACAATGCACTTCAACCTCTCAGCAACTGTAACAAAGAAATAGATAACAAATACAGGACATTGAATGTGGATAGAAATATACAACATTTTTTAATTAACCACTGAGTAATCTAAATTTAACGAGCGCTTAGCTATCTTCCAAACTGCTATTAACTGATTATATTTGTCAATGTTCTAGCAAAATTTAGATAGATTAATCAATTTAATTTAGTTAGCTAATAATACAAAAATTTCTGAGGCAATTACCAGAATAGATAAGGCATATATGTCTTACTTGTAATCCATTATTCTGACAACTGGAGGATCGGCATCTGGAGATAATATCACCTAAAAGATAAAAGCAAGGAAAATGCAAAACATCATTAACAGACATTAATCTTGTGTGAGAATTGAGAAAAGGTAGCTTTCATCTCCGGTAACAAAAGGTCCAGTATACACAGCCACACTGTACACAAATGCCATGCAGAGCTTGCATCAAGATGTAATCAGTAGAAACAAAATCTGATTTCCTGAGGAGAGGATTTATTGTATTGCATTACAATTTTCCGAGAAGACTAATATCTGAAAACCAGGGTTAAAATTACTCACTCCTTTTCTCATAAATATAGAGAAAAAGACTTGTATGAAGAAAAACACTGGGAAAAAAAATATACTAGAAGTAATGGGCCACAAGTTTCATTGCCTGAACTGATTAACATAAAATTTTCCCCTAAAAGGACATGCATTTCCAAGAAGGAAACAAGGTTGTGTCAGACTTGAATCAGCCACCAGATTGTCCGGTTGTTGTCAACCATTTGTGCAACACTTGTTTCATGATGTCGATACATAAACTAGAATCTGCTGGAGCAGCAAACGTGGGATAAGTCAATTTTTAAACTTTATAAGAGCAGACCTGTCTGAATCATTGAATTATTTATTTGATTTTTCAACAGCAATTATTAGCATCTAAATTTTTTTTCTTTTGACAATTATGGAATAAACTTATTGTTTCTTAGTTGACACAATATATTTGTTTTCATAAAAAACTAATTATTTTTTCTTCTGATAGAGATCATAATATATGTTTACATAATCACATTTTCTTATTTCTAATGTGACTTGTTATATAAATTTATATCCAGTTCGAAATTAAGTGCAGTAAAAAACCATGATGATGGGTCAAGCAGTGGCAGGACACTTCGGGTTCTATATGTAAAATACACGATCTTGCTATGCACTTGAAAACTAATTATATATTGAAACTAATCCCAATACTGAATGACGGTCTGTGTGACAGCCCTCATCTGAAAGAATAGTAACCCACTTGACCCATACTTTACTTTCATCTACACCAACTGTTGAAAAATTTAACAATAGAATCCTGTCTTTAAATTGCCAAACCCACCCCACCCCCTCCTTCCAAAACTCTTCCCCTCAGAAAAAGAAAGAGAAAGAACTGAAGATGAATATTATGGCTTTGTTTGAGCCTCATTTTTTGGGGAAAATGGGTTTTGCAATTTTATTT